CAGAGTTATCACAGTATTAGATTTAAGTGTCCAGTTTTCTACAACAACAGCAACAAAAACTCACAAGGCATACAACGAAACAGAAAAGTATGGCTCATGCAAAGGAAAAATAAATAAACAGAAAACTGTTCCTGAAAAAGTCCTGATGGCAGATGTACTAGACAAAGGCAACTGTCAACAGTGCTCAAAGAACCAAAAGAAGACATGGGTAAAGTCAAGAAAATGACGTACGAACAAAGTGGAAATAACAATCAAAGAGAAAAACCAAAAGAGAAACCAAAAAGAGATTCTGGAGCTGCAAGCTACAATAACTGAAATGAAAAATTCATTAGAGGGAGTCAAAGGCAGATTTGAGCAGGTGAAAGGAAGAGTCAGCGACCTGGAAGATATATGACAATAAATATGGAGTTTGAGGAACAGAAAGTAAAAAGACTAAAGAAAAGTGAACAGAGCCTAACAGACGTGGGGCACCATCAAGCAGAGCACATACACATTGGGGGCATCACAGAAGGGGAAGAGAAGGAGAATATATGAAGAAATAATGCTGAAGACATCCCAAGCTTGACGAGAGAGATGAATGTAAACATCCAAGAAGTTCAACCAGCTCCAGGTAAGAGGAACTGAAGATGCGCACTGAGACACATTGTTATCAAACTTTTGAAAAATAAAGATAAAGACAAAAAGAATCTTGAGGACAGCAAGAGAGAAATGACTCATCACATATGAGGGATCTTCCATAAGATACTGGCAGATTTCTTGTCAGAAACTTTGGAAGTCAGAAGGGAGTCTTCCAGAGTGAAATGAAAGGATACTAGATAGTAACTCAGAGCAGCATGGAAAAATAAAAGTAAATACATGGGGGCACCTGCGTGGCTCAGTAGTAAAGCCTCCGCCTTCAGCTCAGGTCATGATCCCAGGGTCCTGGGATCAAGACCCACATCGGGCTCTCTGCTCAGCAGGGAGCCTGCTTCCTCCTCTCTCTCTGCCTACTTGTGATCTCTCTTTGTCAAATAAATAAATAAAATCTTTAAAAAAAAAAGTAAATACATGGGCAATTACAAAAACTAGTATTGTAACAACGGTTTGTAATTCTAGCTTTTGTTTCCTATGTTACTTAAGAGACTAATACACTTTTTAATTTACTAGTCTAAAAGCTAGTATTATAACTTCAGTTTGTAACTTCAAATTTTGTTTACTACATATTTAAAGAGGCTAATGCATTTTAAAAAATTGCTAGTTCATGGTTTTTGGGCATATCATGTGTAAAGATGCAATTTTGTGACATCAGCCAGCACAAAGGATGGAGACAGAGGTGTAAAGGAACATAGTTTTGGTATGTTATTGAAGTTAAGATGGTATCAATTCTAATTTAAGTGTTATAATTTCAGTATGTTCACTGTAATCCCCATGATAACCACAAAGAAAGGAGCAATAGAATATACACAAAAGGAAATGCAAAAAGAATTTAAGTATTTCACTGCAAAAAATAAACTAAACATAAAAGAAGACAGTAATGCAGAAAGTGAAGAGCAACAACAACCAAAAAAGGTCCTAAGGCATATAGAAAACAAAAAGCAAAATGACAGAAGTCTCTCCTTACAGTAATTCTATAAAAGTTAGACCTTTATTCTTATGGCTAGGATGTCCAAGGTCATGGAAAACACCTACCTAAGTGACTAAATAAATATTTCTTTCTATTCCCTTTTTTAAAAAAAATTCTTGTGTTGTTTCCCTGTTTACTGTAACCTTACCTTCTTAATAGTAAGCCATCTCAAACACTTCCTGAGGGTAGATGGGCTTTAAAACAGACTCTCAATATTATTATGCCTGTTCATGACTCACCAACTTATTTGTCCAACCACAGGACACTGCACCCCCGGGCTTCCCACTCTTTCCCCTCCTCCGGAATGCCCCCAACTTGGGGACACTGTCATCACGACACAGTGTGGAAACTTCAGCATGTGGGTGGCTAAGGTGGCTTCTGACTGCAGTTTAAATGTAAATGGATTTTCATTTCCTCTCTTCTTCGCATAAGATGATTAACATTGATCTATCTTTCATTTCACTGACATTTTCTTCTATAGTATACAGTCTGTTTATAAGCCGCTAACATCCTTACTTCAAATACAGTACTTTCAAAATTCTAGAATGTCCATTTTTAAACAGCTTTCCTCTGTTCATTTGTTTTGACCAGGTTTTCCATTAAATCCTCAGCCATTTTTATAATAGTTGCTTTAAAGTCCTTGTTTACCACTTTCAGCATCTGACTTACATTGAGGTTTCGTGCTCTTCACTATGGGTCACATATTCCTGTTTCTTTGCATGTCTAGGAACTTTTCCAAAATGTATACCTGACATTATAGATAACAGGTAGAGATTATGGATTCTGTTAGTTTCTCTAAAGAGTGTTGATTTTTGTTTGGACAGATAGTTAACTGGGCTGGACTCAAATTCCAAATTCCATTTATCCTGCAGGGGGCATTGGTGGAAATTGCCCAATTTCAGATGTTGCTATTTCCTAGTTTCCCTAGTTTTTCCTATGCATGGACAATTTAGTTGTCATCCAGGGGTTAAGTCAAAGTTTCTGTGCAGATTTTGGGGCACCCCATTCTGGGTTTTCCTTTCTGGGATTTTCTATATTACTTTTCAACCTCCTTTACATCTAGCAATTTCATCCTCTACATCTAGCAATTACATCTAGCAATAGAAAGACCCCTCAAGTCTTTCTCTGTGAGTTCTAGCCACGCAACTCTGTGAATTGGGAGATAACCTCAGATGAAAAGTTGTATAAATGTAGATTTTACCATATATACTTACCTCCTTTCAAGGATCAGTCTGGTTTTGTTCCATCTCTTTTGTCTTCAAATCATTTTATTTAATTTTTATTTTATTTTCCCTTCCAAGACTTATGATTGTCATCTATGGGAGCATTAGTCTGGTATGATCTACTTTCCTATGACTCAAAACATTCTAATTCTGTATTAATTTAATTTCATTATCCTCCTTCACCACCCCCCATTTTTTCTCCTAGGAAGAATGGAGATCAACAGAAAACTTCTAATATTAATATAGATTTTATTTCCTGTATGGATCATGTATGGTATGTATTATTTAGGTCACTGTAAACCACTGGTGATCAGTAATCGCTTATTTATACATCTCTTAATGTTGTCTTTTGATGAGCAGAAGTTTTCTAATTATAATAAAGTATAATTTATCATTTTTTAGTTGTTGTTTTCTGTCACCCTCTAAGGGACCTTTACCTATCCCCAGGCTAGAAAGATATCCTCCTACATTTTTCTCTAAAAGTCTGTGGCTTTAGCTTTTATGCTTACATCTATAATTCATTTTGAATTAACTTTTGGTATGTGTCAGATACACACAACAACATAAGTAAGTTGCAAAACCTTGAGTGAAAAAAAAAAGAAAAAGAATACATGCCATACAATTCTACTTACATGAAGTTCTACAGCCGGAACAACTCCACTATGGTAATGGAAATCAGAACACTGGTTTCCTGGATGGGCGAGGGTAGTGACTCAAAGGGGCACAAGAAAAAAGATACTGGGGTCATGGAGATGCCCTGTATCTTAATTAAAGTGGTTTTACACAGACATGTACCTGTATATAGTTAAATTGCTTGTGTTTTACTTCATACAAATTGTACTTCAATTAAAAATGTATTATAGGGGCACCTGGGTGGCTCAGTGGGTTAAGCCTCTGCCTTCAGCTCAGCTCATGATCTCAGGGTCCTGGGATCGAGCCCTGCATCAGGGTCTCTGCTCAGCAGGGAGCCTGCTTCCCCCTCTCTCTCTGCCTGCCTCTCTGCCCACTTGTGATCTCTGTCTGTCAAATAAATAAATAAATTCTTTAAAAAAATGTATTATAAAACAAAACCAAAGTAAGGAAAAGAACTTCAATGATCCTACTTTTTTTTTCTAAATGAGACAAAATCTACTCCCTTGGTAATGACAAAGAGAAGCTACTGGCATACGAATTATTATGATTGCAAGTATCCAATTTTTCCAACATCAAAAGAGAATCTGATGACATCATCATTCCAAGAAGACTGAAATCATCAACAGGCAAACTAGGGAGTGCCATAGAACCAATACCAAGTTATCTGATTCATGATTTTTCAAAAGTCTTAGAATGTCCTGCTTGAAAACTGTCTGCCCACGTGAGGTTTTCCACATGTCTTCCCAAACCACCATACCCTAAATGTTAAGTCTCTAAGGAAGAAACTATATAAAAGCCCTATGTGATCTTAGGAAAACAAAAGGTAAGAGTTTGTCCTTAATTTCAATCAGGCTGAGCCACCTTCAATTTCATTTCTGCACACAATTTCATAAGTGCATAGACTGAATATTACAAAGGAGCTTCATAAATTTCCTGGCTAAAATTCCCAGGTCAATGAACAAATAATATAAAAATTATAGGTAAGCCTTTAGCCCATTCTTGGACTCAATTTTATATTCAATTAGTTTTAAGAAAGAGCATCTATTTTATGTTGTTATTGTTCCTATCACCTGTCTTGAAATGACCAACTTCATAATATTAATTCATTAAAAATAAGTTTCTTCATAACTATATGCCTCTTAGAGTCCAAGTAAGTATTTTCACAATTATCTCTTTTCTCTGACATCCCACCCTGTGATGTAGGCTGGGCAGTGGCATTTGTATTTTATTTTCTGTAGGAAAAGCCCTGGGCACTCTAGAAATGACAAATGAAGGTTATAAAACCTCTTGCATCAAGGTCAGCTTAGACCAGCTAACGTCCCAAGACTTTGGGCAGCTAGCTCCCACAAAAAGTGTCTCCACAGACTCAACTCTATTTTCATATAGAGAGACAGCCAAGGACTGGATGTGCCTCAAACCCTAGCCAATATCTATGAAATCAGCTGGTTTAAGTCATGGAGAATCACAATTCAATACATCTTATTCTGTATACATTGTTCTGTATTTAACCTACTTCTGTTTCTTTTTCCTCTCAGGAAAGGATGAAGTATGGAAGAAAAATAATTCAGTTGTTATTACTTTTATTGTTTCTATGGGCTTTGCACAGATGGTATCATTTCAGGTAATTTTTAAAAAATTAATGAATATTTTGGGGACCTGGGTGGCTCAGTTGTTAAATGTCTGCCTTCGGCTGGGGTCATGATCTCAGGGCCCTGGGATCAAGCCCCACATCGGGCTCCCTCCTTGGCAGGAGGCCTGCTTCTCTCTCTCCCACTCCCACTGCTTGTGTTCCCTCTCTCACTGTGTTTCTCTCTCTCAAATAAATAAATAAAATCTTTAAAAATAAATAAATAAAAATTAATGGATATTTTATTCTGGGGTTTGATAAGGATCTAGTTTGTCAGAAAGATGACAAACTAAGCTAACCCCCTGAATAAATCAGCATCCAAATGTATCAATCCAATATATATACCCCAACATACCCCAAAATATCCAAATGGCATTCAAATATATCAGCATGAACACATCCTTCAGCATAAAAATTCTTTGCTTCTAATGTGATCAAAGCTAATGTAATTTTTGTAGGCTCATATGTGTGAGGAGAAGCAATGTTAAGCCACCAAGACATTGACCATGTAATTATGGCAGTTGGCAAATGTTAGAGAAACTGTCATTTTTAAATAGGTGGCGCCTTTAAGAAACATCCCTGTTATTGGTGACTTCGGGCACTATGTATGGTATCTGCCCTCCATATATTTACACAAGTAGAAAGATTTCATGGGTAATTAGCAAATTCCATTGTTTCAATGACATTAAGTTAGCTCTTCTTTCATTTCTAGCTCAAAGAATTAGGTTTCCTCTCTTTAAGATCCAGCATATGAAGTCCTTAACTGCAGTCACTACTATTTCTCTACAACCAATAATGTACTTGGCACGTAGCATGTGTCTTAGTCCATTTGAGTTGCTATAATGGCATACCACACCCTGGGTGGCTTATCAGCAACAGACATTTATTTCTCACAGTTCTGGAAGCTGAGAGGTCCAAGATCAAGGTGCTGGAGGACTTGGTGTCCTGGTCCATAGACAGCTGCCTTCTCCCTGTATCTTCACATGGCGGAAGGGACAAGGGAGTCTTCTGGTATCACTTTTGCAAGGCTACTCATCTCATTCATGGGGTACTCCAACCTCATTACCTAATCATGTCCCAAAGGTCCCTTCTCCTAATGCCATCATACTGGGGGTTAGGATTTCAACATATAGATTTGAGGGGACAAAAATATTCTGTCCATAATATTATGTGTTCATTGAATATTTGGCAATATTAGGTAACAAAATGCATGGATTGATGGAGTATAACTAGTCATCTTAAATGTGGAAACCCGGGGTGCCTGGGTGGCTCAGTCTGTTAAGCATCTGCCTTTGACTCAAGTCATGATCTTAAGGTCCTCCAATCAAGCCCCACACTGGGCTCTCTGCTGAGCTTCTTCCTCTCACTCTCCCTCTGCTCTCTCTCTCTCTCTCAAATAAATAAATAAAATCTTTTAAAAAATTAAATGTGGAAACCCTTTATATAAGTTTAAAAGTAAAATAATGCTTTTTGTTTATCCTAAGCACAAAGAAACTACAGCAGATATACCAGTGCCGGTAAGTCTTATTTACAAATGCTCTATGACCTCTTCTTTGAGGACAAAACCTGTTGGAGGACAGTGGGGTACCTGCAAGTCCTTGGCTCCTGAAGGCAGGGTAAACCAAAATAACTTTGCAAACATATGTTGGAGATGCTCATATAAGGTCAGAGGACTAGGAGTTCTAGGAGTGAGAACTGGTTAGGGGAAACGTGTGATGGAGCCAGAACCCAGCTTCCAGAAATTCTGGGTCTTTTAAAGCTCTGGGAAATCACATAGGAATAAAGTTTTGGTTAGAAGACTTGGGAGATTGTTATTAACCATAGGCCACCTACAAAATCATACTATCAGAACATGAGCAGAGAGGAAAACTTCCCTAAAAATTGCAAAAGACCCCAAATCATAGTATGTTCTTCAGTTTCTCCCTAGAGTCATGGGAACCCACATAGTGAAGTAAAAGGAAATTTCTTTCTGATGCTTGCTGGGTCTAAGAGCTTTATTTCTCTGGTGGTTCTATGGTGCACAATGTTCTCACCAGGACAGTGACTCCATATCTGGGTGAGCTGCTCTGTGCATGAAAATAATACAGTAAGATGGTTTTCATCGGCAGGGTGTTTCCCCTCTATAGAGCCATGGCTAACAGGGGGCAGTAACTCTCAACTACTTGAAAACAAGAGGAAAACCCCTAGACAAAGGTGGGAACATGCAGAAGAGGCTGGGAGAAAGAATGATTTAACATGTTTTCTGGTAAAATATACACAATGCAATACAATCTAATAATCACTCTATCATTAATATCAGCTCTCCTTCGCATCAGACCTTACACATATGGCCTTAACACACTAATGCTTGGTATCCAAAGGCTTTGCTGTCAATGAGGCAGGTGCCTGTGTAGAAGGCCTTGTCTTAGTCACACCCTGGACACTGTGGTATTCACTCATGACATACAACTCAGCTCCACAGCCGCCCAATCCCCTCCTGAACTCAGTCCAGGATCAACTCTCCAATGATAGGCTAGCCAGGGTGCCATTAGAGTGTATAGGAAGGAGGAAGTAAGGACTCAGGCCCAACTGTTTGTCTTTCCACCTGCTGTGCATCTGGACAAGATAATAAAAACTCTTTGTGTCTCAGTTTCCTTATCTTGTAAAATGAGGATAATAAAAATGACAAAAATACCTATCTCATAGGGGTGGATTAAATTAGATAATACTTAGGAAAGTATTCCATAAGTATTAGCTATTAATGAAGGAAAACTAATTTTATCTAGCAATACATCTCTTAGGTAGGGATATTTAACACAAGACCTAAAGGCTATGTAGGAATTAGCTGGTTTAAGTTGTGGCATGTTTAAGGAAATTTAAAGGGGCAAGTGAGTATGGAAAGTTATCATTGTGGGGCTGGGTAGGAGATGTGGCTGGAACAGTGTGAAGGGTCAGATCACTCAAAATGTCATGGCCATTTAAGGAATGTAGATGTGATCCTTAGGACAATGGGAAGCCAATGAACCCTGTTAAATAGAACAGTGGAGCTTCAGAAACATGACAGTGGAAGTACAGTGGACATATGGAGAATGGGTTGAAAAAGGCCAGTGCAAGGACAGGTAGAGAAGGAATCACAGTGTTAATTACGGGGGATGGGAATATGGGGGTTCATTATATTCTTCTGTTTCAGTTTGTGGACCTTTGACATTTTTCATACTACAAAGTCTTGTTGAAAATGTACAAACAGTGAGACCAATTAGAAGGCTACTACCGTAGCCCTGACAGATGATGGTGATCTCAAGTCATGTGGTGGCAGAGGATGAAGATAGGGGATGGATTTGAGAGATGTTTTGGAGGTACAGCCAGTAGGGGTTAATGATGGACTTGAGGTCAGGATTTAGGGGTGCTCTGAGTGTAGAACATTGCTCATAACTTCTGCTTTGTCAATCTAAGTGATAAGGCAACATATGAAAGGGACCTACTGTGGGGAAGACAGGATGATTTTCACATCAAACATCATCTAGTGGCGTCAGTGCAAACTCAAGTAGAAGACAATTTGATGTCTGGGTCTTCAGTTCCTGGGAGAGGTCAAGATGCACAAACAAGTCTGAAGCCACAGGAAAATGCCTGCACGCATGTCAACTGATCAAATAGAAAGCCGAGGAGAAACCCTTCAAACCAAGACTCCTGAGCAGATAGGATATTTAAGGCCAGAAAGTAAGGTTACATTTTTATTGCAATAAAAGGCGGGGGGAATCAGTGCTCAAGATAAATTTGGAGGCAAGGTGGCAGAAGACTGAGGGAGCTTTTATGTGATGATGGGTATTTCTCTATCAATGAGAAGAAGGAGAATGAGCATTGTGGAAACACATAAAGGTTTCTGGGCAGCCCAGAGACTCAAGTCAAGATAAGAAATCGTGATTTTCCCTGCCACTCCCATCAAAGTCGATCATTGCTTTTTGTACTGCTGCACGCTTATCTTGCACTTTATGTCGGATTATAACATAGTCCATGATTTGGAAGACACTCAGTTACCACAAACTCAAATAGATACAGTGTGATTCTTTGCATTATTCCTCCTGATAGGTCTGTGGATACTCAGTCAAAAGAATTAAAACTATCAGACTGGTTTTCTCCCAGGTAAGAATTCCAAATCAAACTCATGTGAGATTGATCCATAGATCGTTCAGAAATTAACAGATGACAACAATACTACAAATGGCATTCTAACCGTTAGATGGCAGGTGGATCTTTGATTACGTTTTAAAAAAATAAGCAGTGACCAAGATGCAATGGGAATGGACGTTAGGGCCCACATTCTCCATAAATGAGAATGTAGAATGACAGAAACCCAAAGGCCTTAAAATTATGTCAGGTCAAAGTGTGAAGAGGGTATCTAAGATCTTTTGGTTGATTCTCCTCATTTCACCAAGGAGGGAACCAAAGCCCGAATCAGATAGGTGGGCCATCTGCACACTTCTCACTTTAATATGGCAGCTTTCCTCTGGCCTCTCTGACTTCCTCTTCTTACTACACCCTCCTGTTTTTCTTCCTGGTGCTGCAGCATTTCCAGACTTATCTTTATTAAAACTTTGCAAGGAGATGTCCAGTTAAGATCATGATTGGATAATGGTCTGTGACTCTCCTTTTTTCAAATCTAATCAGGACACAGAAAGCACCAGAATTATTTTAACTGGGAATTTAATACAAAGAATTGTTAATGAGTATAAAGTTGTTAACTAGGTAACTTGAGCTTAAACTCTTATGCACTCCACTGATGCTGATATCTCTCAGCTCTTGATAGGCCTCTTGGGACAGGGAATCAGCCTTCTAGGGAAGGGCACTGTGAGGCTGGGTTTTTAAGTGTTGGAAAACCTGAAATCTGGATTCAACGGCTGGTCTGGGAAGGAACTGCTGATATGGGGGTGTGAGATTTGAGGGAACAGGAGGTAGGCAAGGAGCTCACTGGAAACAGGAAAGAGTAAGTTCCTTCTTCCTCCAGGCCTGTAATTTTTCTCCAGTGACCTCTGTTAGCAGAGCCGCCCAGGGTGCCCACTGGCAAAGCAGAAATGCGGTTTGCAGAGTCCCAGCTCAGGACAATAAAGCCAAGTATAGTGTGGTGGGTTCAGTTATGAAAGATGCTAGCTTAGTAACTGGCGCAGGATCCCACTAATGAGACAAGTAAGGCATATCCTTGTACTCGGGATGATGATTCAAACCAACAATTGAACAAAGGAGAAAACCATATATTCATTTACACAGATTCCAAATAACATGCTGATAAAATTCAACTCTCGCTGCTTCCCCACGCCCCCCACATCGGGGTCTCCTTGCTCAGCGGGGAGCCTGCTTCTCCCTCTATCTGCCTCTCCTTCTGCCTGCTGCTCCCCCTGCTTGGGTGTTCTCTCTCTCTCTGACAAATAAATAAAATCTTAAAAAAAAGATTTGTCAATTTTGTTGATCTTTTTAAAGAACTAACTTTTGGGGGCACCTGGGTGGCTCAGTGGGTTAAGCCTCTGCCTTCGGCTCAGGTCATGATCTCAGGTTCCTGGGATCGAGCCCGCATCGGGCTCTCTGCTCAGCGGGGAGCCTGCTTCCCCCTCTCTCTCTGCCTGCCTCTCTGCCTACTTGTGATCTCTCTCTCTGTCAAATAAATAAATAAAATCTTAAAAAAAAAAAAACTAACTTTTGGCTTCATTAATTCTCATTTTTTTCTCTTCTTCTTGGTCAGTTGTCTCTTCTTCAGTCTTTATTATTTCTTCCTTCTGCTTGTTTTGGGTTTAGTTTGCTGATTTTTTCTAGTTCCTTAAGGTGGAAGGTTAGGTTATTATAGGATATCTTTCTTCTTTTTTAATATAGATGTTTACAGCTATACATTTTCTTCTGAGTATTGCTTTTCACTGCATCCTGTAAGATTCAGTATGTCATATTTTCATTTTTATTCATCTCATTGTATTTTTTAATTCCTTTTGTGGTTTTTTTTTTCCTTTGGCCCATTGGTTGTTTAAGAGTGTGTTGTTCAATTTCCACATACTTGTGAACTTTCCAAATTTTCTTGTTATTGATTTCATTCCATTGTCAATGAAAAAGATAGTTTGCATGTTTCCAGCCCTCTTAAATTTATTGAGATTTGCTTTATGGCTTACTATATAATCATCCTGAAAATGTTCCATGTGTATTTGAGAAGAATATGTATTCTGTTGTTGGTTAAAATGTTCTATGTGTATCTGATTCTTTCTTCTGCCTGTTCAAATCTGCTGCTGAAATCTTATGATAAGTTTGGTGGGTTTTTTTGTTTTTGTTTTTGTTTTTTTAACTATTATACTTCTCAGCTCCAGAATTTCTATTTGGCTCCCTTTATCATTTCTATCTCTTTATTCACATTCTCTATTTGTTAAGCTGTTGCTTTCCTGGTTTCCTTTAGTTCTTTGTCCATAGTTTTCTTTGGTTCTTTCAGCACATTTAAAATAGTTGGTTTAAAGTCTGGTTCTAGTAAATCCAATGTCTGCGCTTCCCTAGTTTTTGTCAATTCCCCAGTTTTTGTCAATTTTTTCCCCTATGAATGGACCATACATTCTTGTTTCTTTGCATGCCTCATAATTTTTAGTTGAAAACTAAGAATTTTGTATATTATAATGTGATCACTTTGGAAGTCAGATTCTCTTACCTCCTAGAGCTGTTCTTGCTTACTGTGAATTGTAGTTGTTTGTCTTTTTAGTGACTTTTCCAAACTATTTTTAAAGACTGTATTCTTTGTCTTATTTGGTCTGGGAGGTCTCTGTTCCTTTGGTTTGTGGTCAGCTAGTGGTTTGACAGAGATGTTCTTAAATGACTAGAGCCAGAGTGGTGGTGATGGTGGTGGTTGGAGGGCTCTTAGAGAAGAAGGAGAAGATGAAGAAAAGGAGGAAGAGGAGAAGGGGGAAGAAGAAGAAAAGGAAAGAGGAGAGAAAAGAAAAGAAGAAGAAGAAGGAAGAAATGAACTCTCTTACACAGTCCTTGAGGATTGGTTCTGTGTTTGGGTCCTCCTTCAACACAGCCCAGCTATTTACAACTCTACCTTAGCCTTACTTCCTGTTTTTACTGAGTCCAAATATCATCCAGAGGTGAAAGCTTAGGATCTTCAGAGATCTTTTCTGAGCATGTAATCTGCTCTGAACATGTGCATGGATTTCCTAATTCCTCATTATACATAGGATCTTGTCAAAGGCTTTACTTTTCAAAGAACTCTCTTCCAAACTTTTCTTCCCAGGCTTTCAGCACATCCAGTGTTTATTCCAACTGTAATTTCTTGCCTCAGGTGGCAGGGGCTTGTTCCTTTTTAAAACATTTTCAAGGATTGCCCTCTACTTACCCATTTTTCCATTTTGAGAGAGTTCTGAGTTAAGCAAAACAAAGGAAAGCACTAGAAGTCCAGTCTTTTGAGGAACCCTCAGGTCAAAATGGACAAACACAATTGCTTCGGAATTAGATCCATTCTTCTCCAGAAGCAGTTATTCCACTGAGGACATGGTTTGGTGTTTTCGGTACCACTGCCATACTGGCAGGGAATTGGTATAAGGCTAAATTAAAATCCCACAAAGCTCCTTCTCCTATTGTGTTGTCATTCTTTTCTTGATTTAACTTTTGCTTGATTGCTCTAAAACTCTACCTTCCAGGGTTGTGACAAAGTTGTTTCTGATAGTATGCAGCAATAGTAGCCTAGCCGCATTTTAGGATTATGAAACTGGAAAGGTCATTTTTCAAAATATGATCTCTGAAAATAATTAATGTCAAAAAGCCTCAGACCAGGAGATTTCGTCCAAATACAGGAGATATTCTTACTTTAGACTTTGGGTGACATTTTATCTGTGTCCTCAATGATCTTGGAATCGCAGTATAACTAATCTGTAATGTACTTTTGCAATGATCTAGTCATTTATGAGAAGCTGTTTCTCTAGTTTATCATAACAATCAGGCTTTGGATTAGGAGTAAGGAAATGCTGCAACCAGATACAGGATTTATACTTTAGTAACACCTACTGAAGTTTTTAAAAAATGTATCTTGTTCATAATTTTTATGTCTTTCTTACAGTGAATCCATGAACCTGACTACCACCAACTGGTCAGCTCCAGTTGTGTGGGATGGCACTTTTGATAAAGAAATATTGGAAAAGTATTATGAAAAACATAAAATTACTGTGGGATTGACTGTATTTGCTGTAGGAAAGTAGGTAATGCCAAATGTCCTTTATATTCAGGCTTTTTATTGTAGAAAATGGTAGATAATCAATAATCCCACCTCAAGAATCTAAGAAAAGTGGGACAAAATAAAGACAAAGTAAACAGAATTAAGGAAATAGTAAAGATGAGAACAGAAATCCATGAAACTGAAAACAGAGAAGCCATAGAAAAAAATCGAAGAATCAAAAAGCTTTTTCCTTGACAAAAAAATCAGTAAAGTTCACAATCATCCAGGAAGTCTGGCAAAGAAAAAAAATTGACACAAATTACCAATATTAGGAAAGAAACAGGGTATATCACCTCATACATGGCAGACATCAAAAGAATAATCAGGGAATACTATACTCTACACACATACATTTGAAAACTTAGGTGAAATAGACCTTGAAAACACTATCACAACCCACCCAAAATGAAATCGACCGTTTCAATAGCCCTATATCTGTTGAGGAAACAGAATTCATAATTTTAAAAACTCCTAAATTCTCCAGGCCCAGATGTTTTCACTGGAAAATTCTACCAAATATTTAAAGAATTAACATCAGTTCTATATAATCTTCAAAAAATCGAAGAGAAAGGAACACTTTCCAATTCATTTTATGAAGCAAGTGCTGCCCTCATATCAAAATCATACCCCAAAAAAAAGTATAAAAAAGATCATACCCATACAAAAAAGTATTAAGTTGAACAACTTACATGTTACCCATTAAAATTATAAATTTTTATAAAGAAGTTATCAAACTCAATACCCAAAAAACAAATAATCCAGTCAAGAAATGGGCAGAAGACATGAACAAACACTTCTCCAATGAAGACATACAAATGGCTAACAGACACATGAAAAAATGTTCAGCATCACTAGCCGTCAGGGAAATACAAATCAAAACCCCAAAGAGATACCACTTTACACCAGTTAGAATGGCAAAAATTAACAAGATAGGAAACAACAAATGTTGGTGAGGATGTGGAGAAAAGGGAACCCTCTTACACTGTTAGTGGGAATACAAGTTGGTACAGCCACTCTGGAAAACAATATGGAGGCTCCTCAAGATGTTAAGAATAGAGCTACCCTATGACCCAGCAATTGCACTACTGGGCTTTTACCACAAAGATACAGATGTAGTGAAAAGAAGGGACACATGGACCCTAATGTTCATAGCAGCAATGTCCACAATAGCCAAACTGTGGAAGGTGTTGAGATGTCCTTCAACAGATGAATGGATAAAGAAGATGTGGTTCATACATACAATGGAATATTACTCAGCCATCGGAAAGGGTGAATGTCTACCATTTACATCCACATGGGTGGAACTGGAGGGTATTATGCCAAGTGAAATAAGTTAAGCAGAGAAAGACAATTATCATATGGTTTCACTTATATATGGAATATAAGAAATAGTGCAGAGGACCATGGGGAAAGGGAGGGAAAACTGAATGGGAAGAAATCAGAGAGGGAGACACATCATGAGAAACTGAAGGTTACAGAAGGGAGGGAGATGGGGGATGGGGTAAACGGGTGATGGGTATTAAGGAGGGCACGTGTTGTGATGAGCACCTGTGTTATATGCAACTTATGAATCATTGAACACTATATCAAAAGCTAATGATGTTTATTTTGGCTAATTGAACATAATAATAAAATAAATAAAAATAAATAAAATAAAATTTCTAATTTTATCAGCTTTATAGTAACTCATTATTAAATATTAATAGTAATTTATTCTTTTTTTAAATAGACCTATTTTATAAGTTTTTGGTTTTTTTTTGTTTTTGTTTTTGTTTTTTTTTAGTAATCTCTACACCCAATGTGAAGCTTGAGCTCACAACCCCAAGATCAAGAGTCACATGCTCTTCTGACTAAACCAGCCAGGCACCCCTGATAGTAATTTATATTTAAAAAGAAAATAACACAGGGGTTCCTGGGTGGCTCAGTTGGTTAAGTGCCTGCCTTTGGCTCAGGTCATGATCCTGAAATCTGGTATCAAGCCCCACATCAGTCTCCCTGCTCAGTGGGGAGTCTGCTTCTCCCCCTCCCTCTACTCCTTCACCAAATTGTGCTCTCTCTCTTACTCACTCTCTCTCTTTCAAATAAATAAATAAAATCTTAAAAAAGAAAACAGAAGGAAAGAAGAAGGAAAGGTGGGAAGGAGGGAAGGAGGGAGGGAGGAATCCTTACAGAAGAAGCTCCTGTGCACCTCCTTCCCAAATCTATTCTGATCTGACTCCAGTGCTGCCCCAGGATCTGTAAGAGGGCACAACGAGTGACCCCATGCCAGGGCAATGCTCCTACTTTCAGGACATAAATGGAGCTTCTTCTTCCTTCCCACCCTCCTTTGGTAGAACACACTGAGTCTTAAAGAGTCCTATGCAAATGAGGGGCACTGAAACCAAATCCTCATTAACTTTATCATAAAAACTCTTTCGTGTGTGTTAAAGAACCACTGAGAATCTCAGTTATTAATGGCATCAAGTGCCTCTGAAAATAGGAGTATAGGTAGGACTGAAAACAGGATAGATTGAAAGTATCTATATTTGAGCCACCTGAGTGGCTCAGTTGTTGGGCATCTGCCTTCAGCTCAGGTCATGATCCCAGAGTCCTGGGATCGAGTCCTGCATCAGGCTCCCTGCTTGGCAGGAGGCCTGCTTCTCCCTCTCCCACTCCCCCTGCTTGTTCCCTCTCTCACTGTGTCTCTCTCCGTCAAATAAATAAATAAAATCTTTAAAAAAAAAGTATCTATATGGAGCATTTAGACATGAATATTTGCGACAGGGATGAACAAATAAGCCAATATAATAAGACATACACACCCATGCAGAAGTGAAAGACTCTGGCCATGGCTATGACATTGTGGATCTGTAGGGAAAGACTTCCACAATGAGGCTGGAGAAAGGTGATGTCAGAACAAGAACACCACAATTGTACCTCTGTGGCATGTATGTATGGCAAGTGTATACAAACATAATTCCCAGGGAGCTTGAAGACCAAACAGGAAAACCATAGTGTATATTAGTGAAATCAAGACAAGAAAGGAGTTCTTAATCAAGATACAGAAAATACTAATCATAAAGAAAAAGGTTGATAAATGTGACTGTATTAAAAATTAACTTTACCTAAGAAAACATCAGAAAGACCCAAACTGGAGAGAAACTGAGACCACCTGGAGGAGCCTAAGGAGACATCATGACGAAATGCAATATGTATTCTGGATTGGAGCCTAGAAACTAGAAAGGCCATTTAGGGGAAAAACTGGTGAAATCAAAATAAAATCTGTGGCTTAGTTATAGTATTTAACCACTGATAATTTCCTAGTTTTGACAAATGTACCACGGTTATATTATCGGTAGGGGTAGGTGGGTAGAGCACATACGGGAACTCTCTATAATATGTTTGCACCTGTTTTATAAATCTAACACCATTCCAAAATAGAAAGTTTTTTAAAACTTAAAAAAACAAAGTCTGCCATTATAGTGAGAGTGCCTGACAATAAACTTTTTTTCTTGTAAATGCCTGCCATTAAGCTTTTGATCACTGAGACATCCATGTCAAAGATATCCAACTCAGATAAACCTACTGCCAGTCTTGACGTGGTCACTAGCTAGACAACTAGGTAAAGAGCAAGGCCACCCCTCCCATGAAATTCCCCTTTTAAAGAGAGGCCTGGGTAACCTACAAAACCGACCACTTGAGTGACCCTGCGTTTTCCTTCCTGTGCTTTCATTCTTGCTATTAGGTTTTAAATTGTGAAACCCCAGGCACCTCACACCCGACCCCAAAAAAGGTGGAACCTCCAAGGTACCCCCTTCTCTCTCCCTACGTAGGACCTCACTCTGTGACCCTGCACTTATCCTGTACCCTCCAGCACTTGTGAGTAATAAATCTCATTTTTTCAAAGTTCTCTGGTAGTTGTTCCTGAGATGCATCTTGCAAGTGTAATAAGAACCACCAGGACTGGTCCAGCCAACATTGGCTCTGTAGGGGAAATGTCTGTGGGGGGTCGTGCCAGAAGTAGCAGGGCTCCAGTGAGTCCCAGGCATTCCTGGTGAATAGGATTACTATTAAAGGCCGAGAACAACAAAAACAGCCCTATAGTATGTCATACACAAAAATTCATTCACATGGATAACTAACTTAATATGAAAGTTAAAACAATAAAGCAACTAGAGGAAAACATAAGAGCATATTTTCACTACTTTGGGCAGGAAATGATTTCTGAAACGTAACACCAAAGCATGAACCATAAAAAATGTGGATAAATTGTATTTCTTTGCACTTGAGTTGTTAGTTTCCAACTCAGTAGACTATTTTAAGTGATATTTTTCATAATTTATCTTGCTTTAATTATTTAGGTATTTTAGATAATCCAAACTAGAAAGTTTTCTCCTGACTCCATCCACTATGTTTCTTAAAACTTAGGTCAATATTCAGAACTTATTTTTAAGGATTATATAAACATTATTTGAGGCTGAGGCGTGTATGATTGCCCATCCTTTTTTTAAGTTACCTCAGGTCACGTATTGTTCTGATAAGTTTCACTGTTTGGAGGGACGAGAAATGAGAGAGTTTTGTTTTCTAATCCTGCAAACTTAGCGTTATATTAAAGACCATGAGGCAAAACAAGAGAGACAGTGCAGATAGCAGTAGCTGACCAGGCTACCTGTGACCTTTTCTGCGTAACTGACTCCTCTTAAAGCAAGCCGCAGACATCAATCGCTATTCTTGCAATGCCTCAAGACCTTCTTGCCTACAACCTGAAAAGCAAATTCCCTCTTCTCTGATCACCCTGAAGGCTCTGGCTGTCATCTTGCCCTGGGCTTGATGCTGTTTCCTGACCTCACCAAGTTTCATTCCCCCTCATGAGGAAATCCTCTTCTTTCCTATAATTCGCAGAACCCCGTCAGGGAGAGGAAAAGCAGATGACTTCACTTGCTTTTACACCACTTAACTACAACTCAAGAAGTACTTCTAATATTTGGTTTGCTTACTAGCATGTTTGGACAAACTACAGCCAGGATAATTAAAGTAGTACTTGTTTCACCAAAATGTAAGACAATGAACTCAGTCATTTCTTATTTGCTTCACAGATACATTGACCACTATTTGAAGAAATTTATGTTCTCTGCAGATAAGTTTTTCATGGTTGGCCATAAAGTCATAATTTATGTCCTGATAGATGACTTCTCCAGAATGCCTTGGATACAGTTGAGTCGCCTCCGTTCGATCAAAGTGTTTGAAATCAAGCGAGAGAAGCGATGGCAAGATATCAGTATGATGCGCATGAAGGCTATCAGTGAACACGTTGAAGACCATATCCAATATGAAGTTGATTTTCTCTTCTGCATGGATGTGGACCAAGTTTTCATCAGGAAGTATGGATTGGAGACTCTAGGGGAGTCAGTAGCTCAGTTACACGCTTACTGGTACAAGGAAGACCCTACAGGAGTGCCATATGAAAGAAGTAAGTTATCAGAAGCATATATACTTTTTGGTACGGGAGATTTTTATTACCATGCTGCTGTATTTGGTGGCACGCCCATTCAAGTTTTCAATATTGCCAGGGAGTGCTTAAAAGGAATCATGACCGACAAGAAAAAGAGCATTGAAGCAGTCTGGCATGATGAAAGTCACTTAAACAAGTATTTCTTTCTCCACAAACCCACTAAAGTCTTATCACCGGAATATTGCTGGGCTTTTTCTAAAACGATGTTCCTTTTATTCACAACATCAAACTCTACTGGGCTAAAAAGGATTATAAAAATCTTAGGGTCACAGTGTAATTATATAGCACTTCCTTCAGGTTGTTGAAGTTAAGAGCATCATCATGTCTTATTCCTGAGGAAATTAGCACTTGATAAATTTTAGCACTAAAAAAAAATCCACTAACAAAAATGGCAAGGCCACCCACACAGTATACTCATACTTTTCCTCATATCCATTTCGGATTGTATAAGAGTGGACATAGCAGTTGCAGAATGGACATACTGACATCGGAAGGAGATACAGTGACTTCGTATCCTGTGTGAGTGTTGAGGAAATACTATTTGTTGGACCACATTGAACAAAATAGAATCTCTCACCAGAAAATCAAACCTGAAATATTTTTGTTGATCCATGCAGATACACACTTCTCCTATTGCTTAAGAAAGGGGATTGTCTAGAGGTGTGGATAAGAAGTCAATGCAAGAATAGTAATATTCCCTCTAAGTACAACATTAAAGATGTTAAAGTCACCACCAGATTGACAGATCATTACTTAGGAAACTTTGAGTCATTCAAAGATTTTTTGACTTTTTAGTTTTAAAACTACAAAGTTGTTTATTGTAAAAACTAACTGAAAATAAACAAGATACAGAGAAAATTGAAAGCCCCCCCTTTATTCTCCCTTTGAAAACCTACCCTTCAATAGTCTTTTTATAGGCATTACATACCTACCACATGAATACACACACACACACAGTCACACTCTCACATGTTTACATAGTGACAGGTGTTATACATAGTTACACAAATTGATTTATACCACACACATGTGCACATACATGCATACACACAGATTTTATCACTAGTCAGTGTCCAGTTAGAAAAACAGATACTACTATTCTTGGTATTTTAAACAGTGGGGATTTAGCGCAGAGAACTAGACATATAAAAGAGGTAATAACAGACCAGAGGAGTATGCAAGAGAGTGGAGCAACCCATAATTTTTTCTTTTAAATGAAGGCAGTAACAGTCCTAAGGCTGATGGAAAAATTGTAGAATGTCCAGAAAGAGCTAGAACCTAGCATGAGTTGCCAGACATGAGTGGGGACAATAAAGAGAGGAGTCCCAGTCACTGTTAAAGATGTCGCCTAAAGACAAGAGAGAAACATACAGACTTTTCTCCTTCTCCTATCCTGTCTGCCTGTTTTCTACTGTCCAGTGCTATCCATTAGTTAGATGCAAGGGCGTCTGGGAGATGTAGGTTGCTGCCATACTGAGCAAAGCACAGAAAAGATGAGAGGAATCTGACAGGAAACAGACAAATGTCTACCAGAGTTCACCCATTTTGTCACAAAGCACCCATATTTCTTCCACCCATGCTTAACTCCCGTAAAACAATTTCATGTTTCTACCTTGCAGAATTTAATCAACTTTTGCATAAACAACCACTTTCTCCCCAAAAGAGTGAAACACAAAGTAACACCCAACATTGTTTCCCTCATCGTGTCCAGGAACCCAAGATGACATGAGATCCTCTCCCTCGGGACTATATGTGGTTCTTCAGTTTGGTGAACTCTGATCTAAATTGTAAAGAAAAGAATAACTAACATTCCTCCTTAAGAAAAAAAAAAAAAAAAGCAGGAGGAGAAGGAAAAAGGGAAAATAATTAGTTAACATATAAAAAGATATATATATATACACACACACATACTTACATTTATAATATAAATATACATGCCTGCTATAGTCCTCATTTCTGTAGCCAGTTTTTTTTTTAAGATTTTACTTATTCATTTGACATACAGAGATCACAAGTCGGCAGAGAAGCAGGCAGAGAGAGGAGGAAACAGGCTCCCTGCTGAGCAGAGAGCCCGATGCGGGGCTCGATCCCAGGACCCTGGGATCATGACCTGAGCTGAAGGCAGAGGCTTTAACCCACTGAGCCACCCAGGCACCCCACTGTAGCCAGTTCTAAGGTCAAGTTCATATTGATCACTTCTTTCTTCCACCACCAATTTTATGTTCCTTACCCTCTGCAAGAAGCTCAGCTGAATAGGGTTCTTTACTAGTGAGATGACATAAGCCTTTTCCCTGTGGGATCTGAGTCCTTAGTGGGTCTTTATTCATTGGATTGCCGTGGTTCAAGAGGCTCCCAGGGAACACCTTGAATTCTATCTACAGCCCTCATTCCACTATTGTGTAATAACAACCTGCTGTCATCTTGGCAGCTGTGCTCAGTTCCCTGACCCAGGATAGAGACCCCCTTCTCTGGCTGTTGATTCAGCATGATGAGAAGGCAAAATGGCCAAGGGAAGTCTCAGATCCCAATGCAACAGGACCATCACTTTGTTTCCCTGTGCACTAGAACCTCCAAACTCACGGAGCCCAAGATTGCAGAGAAGAAACTGAAAATTGTCCCATAGATTATTTGGTGTAAAAGAAAGCCTCACATCTCTACTTCCAAGTTCCAGGATCCATGCATTCTGGCTTTGAGGAAGACAATATGATATAGCAACCACTATTTTAAGATATATCCCAAACCTTTAGGACAGAACTCCCAACTTCACCAAATGTTGCCTTATAGCTGATATTATAACTGATTCTTCTTTAGGCCATTTCTTAAAGTTAGCTGCTTCTGGGTTAGGAGTTCCATGGTAAGACCAGTGAATTCCACGGACAGGAACCTATCATTGCACTTAACTGACAATAAAATCTACATCCTGTCAGAGGCAGTGAATAAAACATTCTGTAAGTCCGTAAGTGGTGGTGCTTGCAGAGGCACTATGGAAAAGGAAGGTATATCTGTACCCAGAATATATTTGCTTGGGGACAAATTTCTTCTCCTTCCCTGATGGAAAAGATCCAAAATAACCAATATGCCACCAGCAGCCAGACAGTCCCTCAAAGAAAGGAGTCATCTGATGTAGTCAGGGTGGCGTCTGCTGTTGGGTGGTTGCACATGTAGCCGCAGAGAAGGCCAGATCGTCACTGATGAGAGGAAAGTCTATCTTACTGAGTCACTGGGTAGCCTCCATCCCTGCCCCCAAGGCTACTTTGTACATGCGTCATCTAGGAAGCACTGTGGTGACTACAGAAAGAGGTTGGCTAACATCACAGAAGTTTTTCTCTACTTGATGACTGAGATCCCCCCTCTACTAAGATTGCTCTGTGGTGAGTATTTTCAGGTGACACTCATATCCTTACCCTCTGTACCCATTTCAGAAGCCCATAAAGGACCTCAGACTTTCTTGTCACCAATTTTTCAATCTGCCTGAGTCCGATCTCATAGAAATGAGTTCCAGTGATGATGGATTACAGCTGCATATATCCATGCTTTTAGTTTGTTGGATCAGAAAGCATTAAGTTCATGGTGGGTAGGAGAGGTCATAGTCGAAGTAAATTTAGAATCCCATTGTGTTCAGTATTCATTGTCTACCTGGCTATGCAAAATGCTCTATTTAGTGCCTGTATCTGTCACTTTAACGTGCTAAGGGGCACAGATCCTTGCTCTGCAGACTGTTTTACATAGAGCCTTCTCTTGCCCTGGGTCTCTCTCAAAATGGGCAGGGTATTGGTTTCTCAATATATAGCTCAGAGTGGCACTCAAGTACAATATACGTTGCCTCCTATATCCGAAAGGTCCCACTGAGCTTTATACACACTCTGATGTGCGGGGTAAGTGGTGCAAAGTGCAAGAACTTGCCTAGAGCCAATAACCCTACATTCTCCATAGAAATGTCACTGATGTGTTGGGCCCCTGAATTATTCTTCCACTTCCTGGCATACATTTGTATTAGCATGACATCTGGGATTCTTGCTCCTTTCTGCTCAAAATGCTCAGCATGGTGTTAACAATGGTAGCCTGTAAGATGTCCAGGTGGTTAGGTGGATTGTATTATGAAAACCCAGGAGACTTTGTATAACTCTGAGGTTCACTGATGTCTCTGCCAGGTAAAAGCAAACTGCTTTGGATAATCCATACTAACTGGTATAAGGAAAAACATCTGTCACCTGCAGACCAAATACCAGGGAGTGTGTTCATTTGCCCTTGCAAAGATACAACACCAGGAAAAGTAGCTGTCATTGGGGTCACCACATGATGAACTTTATGATGATTGCCAGGCATTCTACAAATCTGTCTTTTATGCTGGCCCAACAAGCAAGGATATTAACAAATCTCAGGGAGGTGTACCTGTTTCAGTAACTTCAGAAATTCAGCTCAATCCAATATTATATTCCATTCATCCTAATCTAATATCATTAGATATTAAACAAGGGTGTGATATGAATTGACAACCTGCAGTGTTTGTTTTTCTTGGTTCCACTAATCTTTACAATCGCCACAGGGAGTTGGTATTATTATATAACTTGATTTACTACTTTAGTAGGAGAGATTTTTCCATTGGCTTCAGTTTGACCCTTCTTACCATGTTCTCCCTTACACCATTAGTCAAAGACTAATGTAAGTACTCTACTAGTTGTTAAATACATATATTCCAACCATGAAGTCAGGAATTCAGAAACCACAGAGTGGCTCTGTTATATGATGAAACCACTGTGAGATAAACTCAGGGGTGGAATTTAATTTATCCTCTATCCTCCATACACCTGTTTAGTAGATCACGATGCTATTTCTAGCCTCTAGAAATTGTCAACTCAGAGCTAGTGTCAATTCTGCATTTTCCTCCAAGGACACAGTTATCATACTAAATGAAACAGGTCCTTCCTTGAGGTGACATAGACCCTTCTTCAGTCAAGAGACTTCAGATCTATAAACTGGCTTAGGTATGGAAACATAATGAGGTACCATAACTTGTTACTGTGACAATTCAAGTCATGTTTCTGCTCACTAGGACTAGGGTTTCTCCAATAATGGAAATCCCATAATTCTCATTGAAATCTGGGAGTCCATTTCAATATCAGTATCTCCCCACACTGACTCATTTCTCAATGACTTAGTGAAAAAGAGAGTCCTCTGAGTCCTCCACCATGTCCAGGAGCATAGTTGGGGGAAGGTGAATGGTGTGAACCCGATAAATTCGCTTCAACATTTCTGTCTCCCTAAATGTTTGGATTT